CTGAAAGATCCAGGTCTGAGTTCACTCTCAGCTGTACAAGCTCACTGGGTAACTTTGGACCAGTTATTATCTTTCAGTCACATGAGCAAAAACTGAAAGAAAAAGTGCAACTGAGCTCCCAGAAGAAAGGTGAGATATAAATCTAATGTCCAGACAAATAAAAGTCACAATTCCATCCAATTTATCAGACCAACTTTACATATTGGCAATATTCCCTCTCATTTTACAGGAATGTCCTCCCTACTTACTCTGCCTCTGGGTGAGGATCCCACTCTCCTTTGTCAGAGGTTTCAGTGCATGACTTAGGAGGACAGGGGAGAGACCTGTGACTTCTAATAATGTCTCCACAGAAACTTCCTATAACCAGTGAAAGAAAAAATGAAGTTGAACATATAAAGAAAGGGTCACAGAGAAGAAAGCTATGACATCTAGTCTTCAGACCCTACTGTGAGAAATACTGCAAATTCAAGAACTGTTCCATTCTGAGATCCTAACCCATTTACAGGGATGTGTGCTACTGACAAGGGGAACAGCTCCTGACAGATTCCCAGTATAGTGTAGATAGAATCAATCCAGCCTCACCAACATTTCAGCAAAGTAACATTTCTAGTTTCAAACTTCAGGTCATACTGAAGTTATAACACTGTAGAAAATTTCAGGATACTATTTTTTTCTTCAGAAGAGGCACTGTCTCATTGAAAGGGATTCTGTACAAATGTCTGCAACTTAAATACCAGACAATAGAGCCCCCAAGCCACCTCCAGCCTAAATCAGGCAAACCATCTGGTTGAACACAAGCTGATAAACAAAAGCCACTGGCCACACTACCCTAGTCAGGGAGAGAACATCCATATCTTATGAAAAGGGAGAATCATATGTACATATCTGCATAATACAGAAATTGCCTCCAAACAGAGCAGGTCCAGAGGCAATTTCCTATCATTGATGCCCCAGTAGAAAACAAATCCTTGGGATATGCAAGGATTCATTTCCATTTTTCGATATAATGCTTTCTCTTCCATAAGCCAGAAACAGGGGGAGGGAATGGAGAGTGTGAATAGCTTTATCTACAACTATTCAATTCCTGGCATAATCAGTGTCAATAAAAGGAAAGCAGATGGACAAATACTAAGAATCAGTTTCCTATGATGTCAAGGAAATGAGAATCAAGGCAGTCAGGACCTCAGCATGGTTGAAGCACAGAAGAATGTACATTTGCAGGGTGGACACCTGCAGGATGCAGCCCTGGTACTCCAGCTCAGCATGGCCCAGCCATGTCCACTGTAAACGCTGTGGCTTTGTATGCTCCAGCCCAAAGTGGCTCCGACCTAAAAGAGATGAAGAGGTCAGTCAGAGAGGAATACACTGAAAGTTCAAAACATTTCTATAAGCCCTCAGTTCCAGGCAGGGCAATTACTGAGAGACTGCAAACTTTCCCTTTTAAGCAGCAACAATGATTACATAAGCTAATAAAGCAACATCATTTGGTAGGACCTAGGACGCATACCTTCACTATCACTAGTCCCGCCTTCTGCAGCAGCATTCTCCTTGAGAGTCATATGGCCCCCATCGTGACCCTCTTCTAAAAATCCCTTAAAAGCTATTTTTTCATCCCAGGCCTTGAGACCACATGATGGTGGGATCCTCAAGAGTACTCTTGCTATGGAGAAATGCCAAGCCTTCTGTGCTGCTTCATCTTTTGATAATTGTTGCTTTTTATCAGCTTCTAATATTTAACACAGCCCATTCTAAATTGGGCAGCCTTACTAATATATTAAATTAATTAAATCATTTTCAGGGTCACTGACATCCTGTGTACATGTCAGTATATTGCATATGCCTACTGCTAAAGGGATGTAGGCAACAGTATGTTGGCTTACAACAGAGGTTCTAGATAATGATGATTAGATTTACACCCTGCCTTTATTCTGTACAACTAAAGGTGGTTGTATTTGCATAATGCTTTCACCTCCTATTTATCCTGCAATTACAACTCTGTGAGGTAGGATGGGCTGAGAGAAACTAACATAAATAGTTGCCTCATTTACACATAAATGATGAAAAACTATAGCAAGTAGATGAATGTGTGTACCTTGGTAGAATGTTTTCTAAATATGGGAAATAGGAATAAGAGAAATTTTAAGACATACAAAATATTGGTAGAAAGATAACAGTCTCTTGTGAGGAATGAATGTCAAAAGAAATGAAAAAGGGCGGAATTGTTAAGAATGAACGGGTGCTGAATGAATGTGGACTGAATACAGACTGAATGACCAGGATGCAAGCTGTACAGTGAGGTGGTTTGGTCACAGAGAGAGAATGAATGAGGACTGAATTGCAAAACAGGTATATGAAGAAAGAGTATGTCAAGAAAAAGGGGCAACCTGAGAAAACTATTGCTGGATGACCCTGACAAGATTCTCAAAAAGAAGTGAGAATAAATAAAAAAAATTTAAAAACCATGTATGAAGCAGTGAAGGGATATATTGAAAGCAAGGATATTTTGAAGTATAAAAAGGTTGCTGAGTAGTGTGGTGTCTTTTATTTTTCTTCTTTCATGTGCAATTTCTTTTGCTATTAATTTTTCTTACTGCTTTCTGTGCTTTACATAATCCTGCTTACCTTGAAAGGGAATAGTATGATGAAAATGTATGCATGCAGAGTCATCAGACAAAGAATGGAATAAAGAGAAAGTCAGTACATCCTGCATGATCAAAATGGTTCATCTGCAGTAGAAATTAAATGGTCCTAATCTTGTACATCCTATAATTCAATCAGTTATTTCATAAAATCTTGGCTACTTATTTTTCAAGGGATCAAAGAGGTTAGCGTGAACTCAATCTTTTTGAACCAACTGGCCCATATGGAATGCTGAAAGCATGTTATCATCATAAAATGGTGGCAAAGAATTCAGCTGCCTAGTCACTTGTACAGTGAGATGGGTGACATATAAGTTTGATTTATAAATAAAATAATTAATTTGGCTGCAGCTATCCACCATTTCTTTTTCTAAGAATACCACTGGGATCTTTTTGGAGCTAGAAACATTATTATAAGCAAATATTATGCTTAAGAATGGTGCAGAGCTTTGCAACTCACTAGTTTCTTATTCATTTTTTTAAATCTGCAAGCATTTCTAATCTCAAACAATAAAATGAGGTAGGCACAAAGCTTGGCAAGTGCCAAGCACTATTCCAGTGAGCTTAGCCATGTTGGAAATTTAGGGTCTGGACAACTCTTTGCACTTTATAAAAACTGGAAATTGCAGTACTAGGCTAGATTTATGTTAACCAAATCTGATTTTTCCTTTTTAATTAGCTACTGTGTTCCTTAGTCCTATAATTGGTCAGTTCTTCCAGAGATAATAAATCTTTAAGATGGCCTCTCTAAAAATCTACTGAAAGACTTGCTATTTTTCAGAATTTCTTTAGCAGAAATCTGAAACTACTAGTTTCCAGGTTTGTGAACCCTTTCTGATTACAAAGTCTCTGAGTGAAGTGTTCTTGATTTGCTTCCCAAAAACTATGCCAGGAAGCAGTGAGACCTATAAGGAATACCCCTTCCTAACCAAATTTGGACTCAGGACACTCTTATACTCACTCTGGGTATAGAAGTCTGCAAACTTTCTCAGCTGCTGACTGAGGGAGGATGGAAAAAATCTGGCAGGGTCTTCAAGGTAGCAAAGGGGAGAGATGGTCCAACAGCGTGGAGACAAAGCCAATACCTTCACTTCTGCCTCTTCCTTCTGAGAAAATGGCTTCTCCTCCATCATCTGGGAGCAAAAGAAGATCCAGTATCAATTCTGTGGCTGACACCAGGACATTCTAGGCAACATCAACTGGACAAAAGAGATGTGAGGGGAAAAAAGCCTTTGCTTCAGAGGACTGCTTAGCTTTAGAATTATTTTTTTTCCCTGCTCACCTCACTTTCTTTCTCCTCCTCTTCACGAGTTCCATGCTGATCTAGTTCCAGCAGATGCTTGTCCAGCTGCTGCAACTGGAAAAGATGAAACTGTTGCTGCTGCTCCTCCAGCTCACTCAAGTTCTTCAGCATCTGCTGAGGGAAACGGTTGGGGAAGCAGATCCCAATGTGTTCCACTACAGCAGATTCCAGCCATGTCTTCCCTTGAGACAGAAGACGGTCTCCTAGGTAGTACCTGGAGAGGCAAGGAGTTCAAGGTGAAATTAAAGACAAGGGTCATCCATCAGCCCCACTCGTTCCCACAGTCCCTACGGTATTCCTGGAGATATAGGCTTCTTGGTTCATAAGAAGGAGCCAGGCCCCTTCAAACTACTCCTCAAAACAAAACTTAGGGCCACACTTCTGTTCTTGAGAACATCTTCATCCAGACTGAAGGACCAGCAAGATGCTTCACCACTACTGCCGAAGAGCTTTCTGTCTACTCTGTTAGTAAAAGTAGTATATTCATCCTCCTCTTCCTTCTTCCTCTCCACAAAAGCCTCACCGGTAGAACCGCTCAAAAGTGTTGGCCAACTCCAGGTCTGCTAGGAAGAGGATGGGCTCCAGGCTCCGCTGCAGACATTGTAGGGTCTCCACATTACCCGAATCTGCCCAGCTCTTTTGGATCCACCAGTCAATGTAACGAGCAAACTGCTCACTCACCTGGAAGTCAGGTTAATATGTTTGTTAGCATGATACTTGCCAATCATTTATTTAATATATTTTTATTCCTGTCACATTAAAAATTACCATTTAATAACTAATTTTGGAAGTCTCAGGTAGCCATATTCAAATTTTTTAGAGAACAGATCTGGACCTGGTGCCTCAGGTTGTACATCTCTGTTTTATGGAAATGCCTACTTGATTTCTGACTTACGTGCATGGCTGTCAGGAAGGAGAGCTGCAACAAGCCTCCAGAGAAACCATGGCATAAGGCCAGCATGAAGGAGATCTGCTGTCCAAAAAGCTCCTCCATGGCAGCACGGAGGCGCTGGTAGGTGCTGCAATATCGTTCCACAAAGTCAGGGGCCTGCCAGGAGGACTCCAAGAAACATTTCACCTGGACAACAGAACAGAAGGACAAGCAACATTTCAAGATCATAACCTTTTTATCTAGCTCAATGGGACCTCACCTGAGGAAGTTTTGTTAAGGAAGGTTTTAGTGTCAAGTCTTAATTGGATTCAAAGCAAATTTCATGCTTAATTACTATTTTGGAATATCCAAGATGTTCTACCTAAATAAACAGAAAATTATGTAAAATATTTATCTGAAAGCAACCTGGAGAGCCCAATCATGTGTTGGAAATTTCACAATAGAAATAAACTCTACCTAGCTTAGCTGGTAACCAAGTTGGAATAGATACACTCTTTTCATCTGAGAGCTTGATTCCACATCAGCCTCTCTTTGAAGCCTCAGAGTTCCTGATACAGTTCTCTAAGACTCTTTAACTTGTAACATAAACCATAAAGAAGCATGAATGATAAACTGGTTAATAGCTTATGACAGAATATATCAGCACAAAGACCTAATAGTTTGCATTAACATCATGATTCCCTTGTTTCATGCATGCAGTCACCCTCCTGTTGCTGGACACCACCTTTCAGCCATCCTTACCTGCTGCTGTACTACGTCTTTCCAGCATTGTGTGATGCCTGTCATACAGCTGGGTTTATTCACTGCTGGCTTGACAACTCCTGAGCTCAACTCCTTGTTCTTACCATTCTTCCCATCTGCAAAGTGCATGTTACACAACATCACAGAGCATTACAAATCCCTAATTTTTGGTATGACACAACAGTGATCCTTAAAGCATCTGATAAACTGACTCTCCAGAACAGGTGGAATTCTACTGCTATTTCCCCAAAAGTCTGCCCTATATAATCCCATTTATACAATTGCAGAACAAATGGAAACTCAGCTGCATCTTTAAAATTACCCCAAGGATCATTAGAAAAGTGAGTTTTTAGACACTACATAATTTCAGATTTTCTGGCTATATCCAGGATATTAGAAATGGGGCATTTTCCTTGATTGGGAAAAGCAAAAGTCTCTCCGAAGATACTAGTTTTCACCTATTCTTTGCATCCTATCAAATTTAAAATAGAAAGAAAGGAAGACAAAACAGGAAGCAAGATTTTACATTATTTCCCCTCACAGATTGTAGGAAGGAAGATTTCTGGGATAGTGAACCACTAGAGTCCCCAGGTATCTGTCTCCAACTTCCCAGGTCCTTTAGAATTTTTCTTCAGTCAAGAATTGCATGCCAACAATCTTTACAGTACATATAGTCTTACAGATAACCTATGTTCTTGTCAGTATGACCATATAATATATCCAAGGAGTCCTCTTTTGTTAACATTCTGTCAATTCTGGAAGAAGGACTGCCCCTTTTGCAGGTTATTTGTCTCAAGGGAGGGCACTCACTGGATTTAACAGGAGGCTTCAGCTCCTCAGGTTCAGGGCCAGTAGAATCCACATGCACCAGCAAGTGGCTCAGACGGCGAACACGGGAATTGAAGATGGAAGCTCGGCTCATGGAATTCCGGGCTGCCGCCAAATTTTCCAGGTATTGAGTTAGTAGCCATGACATGGGGCTGATGCCACTAGAATCTGGAAAAACAGAAAGACAGTTAACATATATGCTTGGAAAGGGGAGGGATGGGCAAGCCTGATTATCAAAAGACCTGTGCTAGGAAGCACCCAGTACCTGGAGAAGTAATACTCTGCACCAAGGGAGTGATCAGGGCCTCCCAACAGGTCTTGCCTAGAGCCTGTGCAGCCTCATCATCAGGAAGGAAGCGATTGGCAAATACTTGCTCATGGCGCAAGGCGCTGTTCAATCTGCAATAGGAAAGAGGTGCAGCCTAAGCTGTGTGTGTGTGTGTGTGTGCTTTTTTGGTGACAAAGAAACAAATCAAATTAAATCCTATCCAATTTATTTGGATAGAAACAAATAAATTCCATAATGTAAAGAAAAGGGATATGGTGAGGAAGCAGAAGCCTGGATAACAAGATACATATGTTATCTGTTGTGAGCCGCCCAGATTCACTTAGATGAGATGGGTGGCCATACAAATCATATCAAATCAAATAAAAAGATAAATAATACATATTGTGATGGGCAGTAGAAATAACTTTGAGGAACAGGAGGAAAAGCTGCAACCAAGGCAAAGGTCAGGTAAACAAAATCTGAGCCCGGGGCAGAAATGTAATTTGAGAAAGCGTCTCAGACATCATCCTCCCTAGTTCTCATGAAGATAAAGGGAGGGAGGTGGGAAGCGCATTCAGACTTATAAGATCCTGTTACTGTAACCTTATAAAAACATCAGCATTCATAACTCTGGCATCCTAGTCCAGTCTACTTTGAAGGGCTGACACAAACTGATGAGTAGGAACACGGGTATCTTAGGAATATTGGCCTACAGCAGCGATCATCTCTATGACTTGCAAAAACAGCTCTGGGGCAGACCCTGATCCCTAGGACATCTCCCCATCTGCAGCCCTGAGAAAAGGACAGAATAATTCTGTCAGAAAAGGCCTGACCTGTTGAAAAGCTGTAGCAGCTGCATCCGATCTTCTATGATTTCCTGGCACCAAGTATGTGCCTTGGTAGTGTAGAAGAGATATGTACGCCGGCACAGCTGCTCTCTGAAGATGGGCCAGAAGGTGGGCTTGGGACCTAGCACCTCAATGCCACGCACTCGTGTGTCAATGCCACCCTGTAAATAACACAGCTTTCTCCAATGAGGGAATACTTTTTATATTGTCAAGTAACTCCCTGTCTAATATACAGGTTCCTTCCAAAAGTATTTCCATTTATTGCAGAGCATTCAATTTTTATAGTTGGACAATGCTTCTCATATTGCTAGCAAAAACCAGTATTCTGCCAATTAGAAAATTGCAATTATTTTCTTTTGTAGGAGAGCCACTATTATCCTTTCAAAATGAGCGTTCTTATGTATGGATTGTGCAATAAAGGAATGCCAGAAGTCCAATGTTTTCAAAGAAAAAATAAAGTAAATAAAATTCTATACAAAAATGCTGCATAAATGAGCAGTTAACATAACGTGATTAAGCTGAAAAGAATTTGTCATTCATCATACTGTATAGCAAACGTTGCCACTTATATCTTCTCAGGCACTCATGCAATTATAATCCACCTAGCCAATGAATCTATTTTCTGTAAGAATCATAACATTTTCCCAGGTATAAACTACAGTGTGTCAAATTACTGTTTGGAAAATAAAACACTTATGAAAAGCCCCACTAATCTGAGGAAAGACCTGTTTTGATAACAGATTTACAGGAATGTGTCAAAAGCTACTGGGATAGTCAAGCACAGCTCTTTAGTCTTTGCTTTGCTACAGGATTCAACACTCAGACTTACCTGTTGACAGCGCTTAATTTTGATCTGTATAATTGGCCAGAAGCGGACCATATTCTCCAGAAGAACTACCCTGTTAGCTGTAGGTAGGACATTCACCTGTTAGAAAAGGAGCCAAAGTCTCATCAGGATACAGAAATGCAAATGGAGACAGCAATCTGCCTTTTTGTGCAGAAGAAAATCACAAATCAAATTTCTCTGCACTTTCTACAGATGTAATGAACTAATGTAATGCTTTTCTCAACATAGATAAAAAGTATGGAAGGTTATAATGCTCACCATATAAGAACAGCACAAATGCATTTAGTAAGAAAGGGGAAGGGGGGTACTCCTTTAAGTCTGAAGTGAGAAAGTTTGTAAATACAAGATTGTAGAACACCTGTCCGTTCAACTAAGGCTGAGTCTTAAGGGACAGGAAAGACATCATCCATCATCAAGAGCAGAAGAACATCCCTTTTGTCAAGGCTGGGAGCCCTTCCTCAATTATTTTGAAGGCAATTTAGAACAAAAACATTATAAAACATATCTGATTAAATCTTCCCTACCACCAATAGCCTTTCTATTGTATCTGTAAACCCTGGTCTCTGAGCCTTAGCATTAACACTGAGAATAATCCTATAGAATCTTTCAGTAAAACCACCATAAATATGTTTGAGACTACATGTTGAGCTACAATGTGGCATTTAAAACACAGCAATAATGCAGCTCCAACTTTATTTAACCTAATAGTGGGGAGGGGAATCCTCTTGCTTGCAGAAACTCTTTTGATTACTTAAAAGTTTAAGAGGTGTCAAGTTCCAGCAAAAATCAGTTATGTATTACAAGGATATTAGCAGTGGGGCAGTAGAAAAGAAGTGGACAGACATGATTAAATGTCCAAGAAATTAAGCTTCCATTGTCATATTTATCCCTTAAGACATTCAGCCACTGCAAATAAGTTATGTACAGTATGTGTGTACAAAATCCAAATGTACTTCCACATTAATAAGCTTTAGCTTTAACCATGCACATATACATCTCAGTATTTAAGTAACAGTTATTTGCTTCCAAAGTTCAATCATCTGTAACTCTGGTTCATTGGCTAGGTAGCAGTTCAGAGAGAAACAATTCTGTACCTAAAATGAGTGCCACTGCTAGCCAATATAGCAATAGTAAGCCAGACAAATGTTTTCACTCAATATATGGCAACTTTGTCTGTTCAGTAGGATATAAAACAAAAGCAGCGGAGTACAAAGCTATATCAAATTATGTCCTGAATATATATTTTATCCAACATGGCAGATATTTCAATTGTGTGGTTTAAGGAAACCAAAGATGGTTTGGAGGGTCCTCAGAATGAATCAGCCAAAAGTTGCTTGTATACATGCACAAATAGGTTCTTAATTAGACATGGGTTCTCATAAAACAGTTTGCAGATAAGATTCACTATAAGTGCTGCTCCTTAAAATGAACAATTCAGTTCCTCTGGACCTTGAATTGCTTCATTCAGCATTCAGCCTCTTTCCACATATTCTGCTGTTGTAGGAATAAGTGACTGTAGGAGTGACAGTTTTTTTTTTTTTTAGTGTTCAGTAGCCAAAGGAAGGGAAGCTGATATAGGTGAACAAGAGACAATAGGTTTGCAAGGACCAGAGTGGCAGGCAATAACTCAAAGGCACTGTGAGCCAATTAGAGATGATAAAAAGCAAGTCCTCTGTATCTTGCTCTCCTATCTCACAATTACAAAACACCCAACAATAAAAGTAGCTAAGACAGGACAGGGATCTCTGCACTGTGAGCTCACCCATCTATTGCTAGACCCAAATCCCTGGTCGGTTGTCAAGGTAGCCAGGGAGGTGATTTGTGGCTGGGTCCATGCTGTTGTGTTGGCCTCCTTGAGGGAGGGGGTGATGCCTCCATCCCTGAAAGAGGCAGTGGTACAGCCCCTTCTCAAGAGGCCATCCCTGGACCCAATAGCCCTGGATAACTATTGTCCCACCTTCAACCTTCCCTTTTTAGGGAAGGGTGTTGAGAAGATGGTTGGACTGCAGCTACTGAGGACCTTGGAGGAAGAGGATTTTCTAGACTCATTTCAGTCTAGGATTTAATGCAGAGACAGCCTTGGTTGTGCTTGTTGATGACCTGAGGTGAAGTCAGGATGGAGACAGCGCATCCATCCTTGCACTTCTTAATCTCTTGGCAGCTTTCAATATCGTCAACCACAGTATCTTTCTGGATTCACTCCAGGGTTGGGAATGGGGGCACCATTTTGCAGTGGTTCTCTTCCTTCTTTCGGGGTTGGTTCCAGTCACAGTTGAGGGGGAGAGGCCACTTGCTAGGACCCTCCTGTGTGGAGTGCCTCAGGGTTCAGTGCCCCTTTCCCTCCTATTTAACATTTTTGTGATAGTGCTACTGGTTTGGGGTTCAGTTTCATCAGCATCTTTCAAATGCAGGCCAGCCAAGTGTGGCTGTCAAAGTCCTGTTCCTGTGCCCTCTGGGGGAGATAGGTGGCATATAAATTTAATAAACAAACAAACACATCAGATTTGATCAATCATACCAAGACTGAGTGTCTGTGCTTGTTGAGGACCCCCAGATCCAGGGAGATTTCAATTTTGATCTTGGGTGGGCTTGCACTTCCCCACTTAAGGGCAGTACACAATCTGAAGATCTTCTTGGACTCACAGCTCCTGCTTGGTGAGCAGATGGCAGCTTTGGCCAAGATGCCTTTGAACAGTTTCATCTAGTGTTCCAGTTGCTCCCTTTCCTGGATAAGGAGGCCCTTCAAATAGTCACTAATGGCCTAGTCACCTCACAGCTCAACTGTTGCAATCCACTCTGGAGGGCTGCCCTTGAAGACCAATGAAGCTTCCATTGGTCCAGAATGCAGCAGCACAGGCAGTGAGGGGTGCGCTTTGGTATGCCCATGTGACAACTCTGCTCTATAAGCTGTATTGGTTACCGGTCTGCTTCCGGGTGTAATTCAAGGTGCTGGTTAGGACCTATAAAGCCCTACATGGCATGTTGTTGTTCAGTCTTTAAGTCATGTCCAACTCTTTGTGACCCCATGAACCATATGGCGCCAGGCCTTTCTGTCCTTCACTGCCTCCTGGACTTTGCTCAATTTTATGTTCATTGCTTCAGTGATGTTATCTAACCATCTCATCCTCTGCCGTCCCCTTCTCCTTTGCCTTCAATCCTTCCCAGCATCAGGGCCTTCTCCAAAGAGTCCTCTCTTCACATTAGGTGCCCAAAGTATCTGAGCCTGAGCTTCAGTATCAATCCTTCCAATGAGCAGTCAGGGTTGATTTCCTTTAGGATTGACTGGTTTGACCTCCTAGCAGTCCAAGGGACAACTAAGAGTCTTCTCCAGCACCACAATTCAAAGACATCAATTCTTCAGTGCTCAGCCTTCCTTATGGTCCAGCTCTCACAGCCATACATTGCTACTGGACAAACCATAGCTTTGATTATGTGGATCTTTGTCAGCAAGGTGATGTCTCTGCTTTTTAATATGCTGTCTAGGTTTGCCATAGCTTTCCTCCCGTCTTTTAATTTCATGGCTGCAGTCTCCGTCTGCGGTGATCTTGGAGCCCAAATAAATGAAGTCTGTTACTGCTTCCATTTCTACCCCTTCTATTTGCCAGGAATTGATGGGTCCAGATGCCATGATCTTAGTTTTTTTAATGTTGAGTTTCACGTCTTTTAATTTCATGGCTGCAGTCTCCGTCTGCGGTGATCTTGGAGCCCAAATAAATGAAGTCTGTTACTGCTTCCATTTCTACCCCTTCTATTTGCCAGGAATTGATGGGTCCAGATGCCATGATCTTAGTTTTTTTAATGTTGAGTTTCACGTCTTTTAATTTCATGGCTGCAGTCTCCGTCTGCGGTGATCTTGGAGCCCAAATAAATGAAGTCTGTTACTGCTTCCATTTCTACCCCTTCTATTTGCCAGGAATTGATGGGTCCAGATGCCATGATCTTAGTTTTTTTAATGTTGAGTTTCAAAGAGATAAGAAGGCCTTCTTATCTCTTGCTTCTGTTAGGGCCCTGCCTTTTTTGTCCTTTATCATGCCCATCTTTGCACAAAACGTTCCCTTGATGTCTCCAATTTTCTTGAAGAGATCTCTAGTCTTCCCAATTCTGTTGTTTTCCTCGATTTCTTTGCATTGTTCATTTAAGAAGGCCTTCTTATCTCTTCTTGCTA